TTGTGCATGGTGCAGACTCTTAACTGTGTGTGTGTGTGTGTGTGTGTGTGTGTGTGTGTGTTCTACAGTATGAGTCATCGGGTCTGGGCCTTATCAGCAGCCGACTGAGAACCACACTGAACCGGATCCAGGAGAGCCTCATTGACATGGTAAGACTGTAACTCTCCTCCTCTTCTCTCACACTTTTTCCCTTTCTTTCTTTTAAACCATTGCTCATTACCTCATCGCCTGTCTCATTCTCTGACACAAACATCCTCTCTCCACCCTCCCCTCCCCTCCCCTCCCCTCATCCTTATGTGCCTCTTTCCTCTTTATGCCTCTGTATTTTTTTTGCACATCCACTCTATCCATCCCGACCATATGTGTGGTCACGTTGATGAGAGTGCACGTAGCCTGTGTCGCCACAAAATGCATTATGGGTCATCATTATCTGGCCAGTGGTCACTCACACATACACATCTCCCTCTGTTTAGGTGGCCACACCAGGGTGGATGTGTGTGTTATTCCATTAGTCTCAATCACTACTCCCTTCTGTAATACTACATAGTGACAATTAGCCTGCTGCAGCCCACACTCCCTATACTTTTATCTGATAGCGTATCTGTCTACAGTCTGTCTCCTCTGTTACATGGTGATACAAGTGTCATCTCTCGCTTCTGCCTTTAATTTTTCTCCGTATTAGACTGTCCTTTTTGGCCTGTGCTCAAATAAGCCCTGCTACTTAATCTGGCCCGAATCTGCAAAGCCACTGAAGTTTTGCTACCTTGGAAATATGGATGTTTAGTGAGAAAACGCAATGAGTCATGTCCCTGTGTGTGAGTGAATGGCTCACTGAACTCATATTTTAGTCATTCGTCCTTGGATTCAAATTTTTATACTAAGATCCAGCTTTTATTAATTTAACAATATGTCGTACATGTGTCTGTTATTGTTATTCAGAAGTGTCCAGTTCTGAAGTTCTAGAAAACAGGCAACATTAGCTCAGCTTTTATTACAGACAAATATACAGCCCAGAGCTGCTTGTGTTGGAAAATAAAGAGGCCAATAATTCTTATGCGTTGTTAAATTAGATTTTTATCATATGTCACAAATTGTGATTCACAATACTCCACAATACCTCAGCTGTGAAAATGAAAAAGAAAATGTATTCTTTTCCCATGGTAAGATCCTGAATAATGTCATTTCATTTTTCATTTTCTGAGAATCTGTGGGGCTTTCTGTCTCTCTCTCTCAAATATCTCTTCTAATTTCATCTGTACACTTGCATAACACCACAAACCAGGCTGCAACTATTAAATGCGCCATTTGGTGTTGTTCTTCCTTGATCTTAAACATTTGTGCAACTTTAAGAAAAGAGGTGGCAGCCACTTGATCACTGATTTGGATTTTGTTAAGTTGTCAGGTGAGTGTCAGTGCCAGTAACAATCAGATGACAAGCTGTCATGGCAACCATCAACACCAGTCTCATCTTTAATGCATATCCCATCAGAATGTGAAGTAAGCGTTTTCTCAACCAGCATCACCTTTGCATGCAGATATTATCGGCTCTTTCCACACAGCATCTAAAGCGCCTGTTTAAGACAAAGCATTTATTTGACAGCATAATGGCAGTTTGCTGTGATAGCAAGCGCCGGCTCTTGGCTGTGATGTTTATTGGCTGCTCTGAGGAGAAGGAGAAGCCAGGGAAGAAAACAGATAAAAGTCAAAAACCCAGAAAAGAATAATAAACAATCAAAACTTTAAATTGTATTAAACAGTGTGATGCAGCGACAAGTTTTTCTTCCCTCAGGGGGGCACTGTAGCAACTATTTACACCCCAGTAATTTTCTGGCTAAGTTGTTAGTCATTTTCAAATGTCAGATGAGCTCGGTGCTCAGCTGCATTCAGTTGAGAATATGTTTATCCTCTATCTGGAGATAAAGCATGAAAACGTGTGATATGCCGTGATGTGTGTGGGTTTTTGTGAGTGAGAGTTATCTTAAGACACAAAACGATGCTAAATCTTTAGCAGGTGCACACACATACATATTTCAGATGAGCATAATCATATCACTTTGTGGCTATCACAGACTGTGTTCTCAGACTCTGGCTTTGTAACAAAACCCATCCACTCTCTAATGTATTGGCAAATGCTTTTAGTCTGCCCTTTCTCATATGCAAAACTATTTTAGCTCATCTCGATAAATCATTCAATGTGGAAAGATGCCCTATTTTCCAAACTAACACAGAACTCCCTTTTTTCCCTCTCCATCTCCCTCCCTCTCTCTGCTCTTCTGTGTTTCACATCTATGATCCTCACACATAAACTTCACACACACTCTTCCATTAAAAGTATTAATGCATATTGAATGTATACTGCTTAAAAAAAGCAGCTGCTATGTGACATATGGATTATAACTCCCTTTTTTAATATAGGCGACTTCAGTCCAAAGTGAGAGGGTGCATGAATTCACATCGAGTACACAAATGCACTTCCGCACCTGCATACAAATACACACACCCACACACTCCAGAGATTGCAGCAGGGTAGACCTCATTTGTAAACAGATTATAAAGTTAATTGCACACTGCATTTCAATTGAGCCGCCGAATCCTTACGGTTTTGTTCTCCTGATTTGCCGTCGCAACTGTTTGATCCCAAAACCAGTGTGCTGGTAATGACTCTGAGTCCCATATGAACGGCAGCGAGATTCCATCTCATCTCGCCTCAGGTACCGAGTGGCTTCAGCTCAAATTTGGAGTTCCACGGGGAAAAAACGTAAAAGATCATCCCCCCCGTTTATGTTCTGTTTCTCCGCCTGCGTTATTCTTGATTACCTTTTCGAAACCCCGTCGCTCGTCTGGTTTTGACGCTTTTCAATTTGAGTTCACTCGCTTTTGGCTTTGAATATATCATTGAGAATGTTTAGAAGGTTGTGAGGTTAGGGAGAAACTTCTGAGAGTGGCAGAGACGTAATTGCCTTCAACGTTTCCCACAAAACACTTGTTACATAATGTTTAATCACATGCGCTGTCGCCAGTTTGAAAATTCTAATGCATATCCTTACCTGAATATGAAACTGAATTGTTTTACTTGAAAGGAATCAGCTGTCACATAAAACAACGTTTTGCTTACAATCCTTGCTCAAAAAAACCCCCCAAATCCTCTAATGATGTTGCTCGGGGCAGGTTAGATGACAAAGCTGTATCAGAATAATGCCATGAACTACATCTGTGGCCGTATAGTTGCTGCCAGATAGTTCAGCTATGACAGCTGTTTAGAGCCGTTGCTGCAGGCAACGTTGTGAAGAGAACTGCCATAATTGCAAGGCCACCACTGGTTCACCATCCTTTTGCTTCTCTCAGTATTCAAACCACCAGTATTTACCCGTTCAATCAGTCAACCCATTTCTCTCACTTGTTTTCCCAACTCTTTTGCTCATTCCTCTCATTTTTTCCCTCTATCCATTTTATCTGTTTGTCCTATCGCCTTCTTCTCTTTAGCAGCTGTGTGCCAGTGATTACATGCCTCTCGACTCTCAGCACAAACAACTGCTTGTATCGTTCCTCCCAGTTTATTGGTGCTTCCGACTGAATATACAATGGTGTGTTTGTGTATTTATTTCAGTGTTCAAAATCGGCCCAGGCATGAAGATAAGATCATACAGGCTGGAAATTGTGTTTGATTTCCTTTTCTCTTTGTTGTGAGTCCTAAAACCCACAATTGTGTTATATGTGTGTGTGTATACATCCGCTTGTGGGTACTCGGCTTCAGTGTAGAGTGGGACTCTTTTTCAGGCTTGGCACTGACACAGAAATTAGAAGCCGGGGTAATTTCTGTGTTGGCACCGGTAATCTGGCAGTGAAGGGTGCTTGCAGAGATGTTCACAAAAAACACACACACTGACAAACTATTCCCTTCACACACACACATACCAAGAGAATGCAAACTTTCACAGACAAAGTAACAAACATTCAGGTTTGTGGTGCTACTGTATGTCACTACTACATTTAACCCCCGCTGTCCAACACACTTTTCACGCTCCCTTCCTGTCTGTCTCCCAGTAGCAGAGTGATAATCCCTAAGCATGTGTTGCGGTTGTGGTTCGCTACACTGGGTTGGCACAGCCTACAGACACACACTGGCACTTTGCCTCTCATGAGAGGCACTGGCTAATGTCACACACACACACACACACCACCACAGCACCAACACACATCACACCACACACACACACACACACTAGATTTTCTTTCACACTGAACCCAGTCATTAGTTCTGCGTCTCTCACGAGGGCACATCACTGTCCAGACTGGCCTCTTTGTTGTGGCCTGCTGTCTCTCTCTGTGAATGGTGCAACGAACCAGAGGGGATTGCCATTTGACAGGGATTATGGATCATAATTAAGCTCCATGGTGTGAATGTCTATGCTGTAGTAGGATATCACAAGTATTGACGTTTTGTTGGGACGTCAGTGGAACACATGCACACAGTATCACTGTAGGTCATGCTCCTTATCTGTGAGGAGACAGTTGATCCCCATGGATAGGGCACCTCCCGCTTCCTGTCTGCAACTTCTCATCAACTTCTGCCGATGACTCATCACATCTCCCAGCGTGACGAACATTGCAATGAGCAGAATGGATGCACTTTTAATTTAAATTCTTTCATTTGTATTTTGCATTCTCCTCTTTAAACGTCAGTTTGGTTTGTTCATGTTCAGCTTTCTTAATTCAAGTATTACAAGTTGTTTTTTCCCTTGTATCTTGGCGCGTTTTAGTTAAGCCAAAGCAGGTGAATGGACCAGCAGCTATGGGAAAAAAAATTGCCGAAGATGGGCTTTGAGGTGCCAGGCAGTGTCGCACAAAATAAATGAAGGCCTTAATTCCATTTGACATTCATCTAATGAGAACCAAATTTCTAGTATTAGAGTGACAAAGAGGTGCAATAGGATCCACTTGACAGTAATTGCCTGGCAGCCAGTCCACTCGACTTGGCCATAACTCTCTATGGAATGGATTGGAGAGGAGTAAGCAGTCAATCACGATAGATTGAGACACTTCAACTGAGAGATCACTTTTCAACTCCCTCAGCTGGAAGCTTCCTCCGTGACAAGGGTGATTACAGAATTATCAAGCTCCTAGAGTTTACAGAACCATTCAAATTAAT